CCCGCCATAGACAATTAGATGTATGCGATCCTGTGGCGGTTGCGACCCATATGTCGTTGAAAGTTGCCGAGAAACCCGCAAGGGTGATTTTAATTGGGAGAGTGTGAAATGATTGAATTTCCCGTCGTCACAGAGAATGGCATCAGAAATCTCGTAAAGAGCAAGCTTGTTAGTATTTACATCGCGGAGGATTTCCGGCTGCTTCTCCTTTATGGCGTCATGGAGGTCATCGACCTCCTTCGTTTTCGCAATGTTAATACGAAGATAGGAATTAAAAGCTCTGCTCCACACCAGGCAGACAAGCGTGAGGGTGTTCGACATAATTCGTAACAGTTCTTCCGAAAAGCGAGAAGGGGGTAGGAAACTAAAGGGGGATTCCGTGCAGATAGTGTTCCGATCTAGGATATGGTGCTGGCGAAGTTGCAGCGAGAAACAGCTTGAAGCTTGCCTTCCTTACTGGTTTAGGCTTTGGATTCTCCATCAGGAAAATCCCACTGGCAACTTTACTAACCATACATAGTCATGTCTTACCCTGTGGCCGAGTGGACTTACTCTAATACTCCCGACGTCGAATCGGAAGCTTGTATAGCGATAGGTGCGGAGTGACCAGTGGACCACTGAGGGTGGAAGTTCATGATGTCTTGCTAAATATTCAATCCACCATAGGTTTTTCTCTCTCACCTTCGCTATTCTTCCTACGTTCGCTCGAAGACGCGCGGAGCGACGTTCGGTGCGAAAACGACAACTTGGATGAATGCGAGGAAGCAGACTCGGACAATGTGGCTACTCGCGCGCATGAGCTTACAGCTGGACTTGGGATAGGATAAATGTATGACTAAATGTGAAATAGTAACGATCTATGTATAAGGGAAGGTGCGGTGTGCGCCTTGGATAAATCAACGACGAAGGAACGGATCGTCAGTAGCTGCTAGACTGGAGATAGGTCGCTCTTCATCTCCATCGCGTGACACATCGTTTTCATCACGACGGGATGTCCTTGGACGCTTTGAGGAAGAGGTGGTTGTCCCAAAGGACTCGTCGGCCGTCCGTTTAAGCGAAGTTGTCAGCCCAAATGCTTCCTCTTTGACGTAGTTGTAGTTGCGCTGCAATTGGTCAGGCACTTTGTCTATTAACGGCCATCCGGTTCGGTGGAAAAGACGTCGTAGCAGCGTAGCCATGGCAGTGTGGTTTTGTAGATTGGCAGCTACAGCTTTGTCCTTCTCTATATCCCGGAGCTCTGATCGCTCAGAAGGCTCGGGGGCGTTGGTAACATCTGGGCTTGGGACGCCTTGGTCTCGAAGGCCCGCCATGAAGATGTCCTCTTCATCCTGTACTGAGTCTCCTGGTATCGGAAGGCGAAGGAATTTAGAGGCATTAGCTGCTTGCGCCACTTGATATCGCGCTCTAAACCAAAACAGAAGCTCTTCAAGAAGTTCATTAATAGGGTGGTCCTGCATTGATTGACTGGTGAACCTAAGTGGGCTCCCACCGGCGACGATGATTTGGCCGGACATCATCGCGGAGCTCTTTTGACCGTTGCATTTGTATTGGCCATTGATATAATGGAAGTTGTCGAAGAATTCGTGCATAAACCGGCCAACGTTTTCACAGTTATG